TCCTCCTCCTCCTCCTCCTCCTCCTCCTCCTCGCTGCCCATCTGTTCCTCGCAGCACATCTGAGAGGGCTTGGAGGAGGTGAGGTCCTCGGGTTTTTGAGCTGAGCCAGTGTGAAAGCCCTTTGAAGGTGGTTTCCTGAGTTCCTGACCCTGCTGAGAGAAAAGTGAAATCAGATGAAGCAGGGAAGAGTTGCTCTTTTCTTCTCGGCCGGTGCGGCCAGCCACGCACCCTCCCCTGGGGGAGCTGGGGCTGCCCCGGCCTGGGGGTCAGGAGGAGGCGGGGGGTCAGCAATCGGATATGGCGGGGCTCCAGGGATCAGAGCCCACTTTCACCAGAGCATCCCGGTTCTCTGTTGTGGAGAGCAAGGTCTCCTGGGATCCAGACTGGTCATCACCCGGACACGAGCAGGGCTCTGCTCTGTCCGATGGGAGATGGAAAGGGGGAGCAGCGATGCGGGGTCGGGGAGAGGGCACATGGTCCATCCTCTGCGGATGCCCAGGGCTCCTGCCTGCCCTGCCCGGCGCCTGCTACGCTTGGGGGCTCCCCCCCCCCCACAGGCTGCAATCCGGGCATGGACCCAGCTGCACGGAGCCCCTCGGGGAGGTGGGGTGCAGGCTGCGTGCCGGGCTCTGACGCCCCTCTCCCCTCGCCTTGCAGGCTCTGTCAACCAGGATGGCCAGGAGACCCAAGGTCCCAGCGATGGCTTCTTAAGCTCCAAGGTGGCCGTCTTCGCGGCGATCGGCGCCGGCTGCGTCATCTTCATCCTCATCATCATCTTCCTCGTCGTCCTCCTGATCAAGATCCGCAAGCGGCACCGGAAGCACACGCAGCAGCGAGCCGCAGCCTTGTCCCTCAGCACCTTGGCCAGCCCGAAATGCAGCGGGAACGCGGGCTCCGAGCCCAGCGACATCATCATCCCCTTACGGACTACAGAGAACAACTACTGCCCGCACTACGAGAAGGTGAGCGGGGACTACGGGCACCCCGTCTACATTGTCCAGGAGATGCCCCCCCAGAGCCCAGCCAACATCTACTACAAGGTGTGAGGAGCAGCCTGG